TATTTTTATATATATATAAAAAAATCAGAATTAAACACACAACATCTAGTCAAATTAGATGCCTCAGATGAGGGTCAACAGCCAGAATGCTGAGCAGACAGGGCATCAGAAACTGCAGTTCTCTCGTACCTACGTGCTTTTCTCCATTTCCTACTCCTACAATTCCTTCTAAGCCACCTTCACACATCTGGATTTCCAAATCAAATTTCTTAGTGTGGACAAATGGTTGACTCAATTCACATGAAACATGGACAAAGGCGGCATTCCAGAACTTACTTGTTTCCATCAAAAACCCACGTAGTGCACCATCCTGTTGCTAAAACTGACTTGAAGCAGATGGTTATGAAATGGTACACAAGACATCACAACTACAAAAAATCCCACACCATTCTCCACTATACCCTCACCACCACATTTCACAAATTGGGGTTCAGACAATGTCCTGGAGGCATCACTCTGGCTTTGGTGATTCTCACCATTTCTCTTAGTACTTATTCTAGTTTCACCCCATTGATTTTGAAGCAGGGCAGCCAGCACTGCACAAGGTGCGAAGACTACAGTTCTAACAATACCAGGACTTTTATTTTTGTAATCCATCACCAATTTCTCATTCGCTTTTGCTCTTCTACCACCTTTATACAATAAGCATAGAGCTGCAGCTCTGAAAGCACAGTACTATTTAATCTCAGCCCTATTTAATCTCACAGCCTCATATACTGCAGCCATAAACCCGTATGAAATCGCAGCTCTTTGGCAATCACAACGCCAATACTTCGATCGCATCTTTTCAGGTGACTGCAGTGCAATTCCTTCCAACCAACAGGATGAGGTTATCATTTTGTACGCGACCTTGTCAAGCTGCAGGTAAGACTGGAGCAAGAAGTACTGATTACTCACTTAAGCCGAACATAAACTGTCTCAGCTTTGATCCTTTTCGTAAGACTCAAACAAAAACTCTGGATGCCAAAGACAAGACGTTCATAAATACGAGAAGACAACAGCAGCCACGGCAAGAGCATTTGGCACATTTTTGAGAGGCGACATAAAAGGAAGGCGATGTCGATAACTTACAATACGGCCATCCCCGCTACCAATGTCAACTAGGGAGCCACTTCTGTTTTCTAACATTTTCAGCACATTCTGGATCTGAGTGGAAGTTGCAGGAACGAAGGGCAGGCACACTTTCCTGAGAGCCGGGGTCACGAAGGGGGTCACCACAGCATAGAGTGCCACCAAGGTCCCACCAACACCAGCAGTGACCAACAGCCCCCAGCTCCTCCTTCTGGAGCCACCCTCGCAATCCTGTGGGCTTGCTGCGTGGCTCCCGTTCGCTACCACCTCAGACATCACACCTAGAGGCAGACGTTGAAGATTATTTTCTCTAATAGCTGTATTATGTGCTCACTTAAGACAAAGCAGTGTATTATACCAGAGACATAACATCGGGGGAAAAAAAAAACAAAAAAAAAACAACTAGATCCTAGACCCTCAGGAAATGTTACTATTGCTGCTTTTGAGAAGCTGAAGCGCTAGGTTAATTTTTCAGGACAGGAAAGCAGTTTCCATTTAAGCCCATAGTTCTTCCCACCCGGCCGGGCTGCAGCGCGCCCCGGAACAGCTCAAGGGTGGCGAAGGCGGAGACCTCCC